CGTTTGCATGTAGGCATGTGCTCTAGTGTGGTTTTGGGTGAAATTCTGGACTCTGAAGGGGATGATCTTGTTGTTCTGCACTGTCCAGCTTTTTTATCCATTTTTTTTTTTTAATTGGCAGCTCAGCCTTTTGGAAGATAACCTTACTTTGGCTCTAAATAAGCTGAAGGTGTTCTGTGCCTGACAGCCAGGTAGACAGAAAATGTGTGACTTGGAGAGCTGAGAGTTTTTCAGTCCCCTGTTAGGCAGACTTGTTTGGCTATAGTGGTACTTTTTTATAGGGTTTGATTTTCATCTGCAGGAACGAGACACAAGTGCGGTTGCAGTGACCATGCCAGTGCCAACAGGAGATCCGTTTCCCAGGACGTTTCACCGCTCAGAGATAAAAAGTGAGGTAAGAGCATAGGTGACTCTCTTACGCTACCTTCATTAACTGCTAAAACTTCTCCACAACAAAGCCTAATGTGTGGTGAGTAGTAGGGCTCTAAGTAGATGATTTGTCATCCTGGAAATTAGGAGCTGACTCAATATGTCTCTGGCATTGCCTTCTCATTGCAGGAGAAAGTTTTCCTACTAAAGTGCCATCAAGTAAGGAAGTCCCTAACCTGCAGTTAAATAATGTTGGAATCTTTTCAGCCTAGGAAGAAAAGCAATGCTTTCAGCTAAGTTTGGTGAGGAAGATCAATTCTGTCCTCTTGTAATAGAACTGATCCTGTTTTGTCTTGTTTTTCACTGAGGAACAATCCGTACTAATCAGCACACCAGGTTTGAGTAGGTCTATGCTTACTCAGGTTGTGCCTGATTCCTACTGAAGGACAACTGCAGTCGTGCTGATATCTCTTGCTTCCTGGGTTTTGACACACAATTTCTCCTGAGGCTGTTAATTTGGAAATCGTGTCTGCTCTCATCAATCTGGTTGCTGTAGTAGCACGAGCTGCTAGCTGAGTTCCAGTCAGGTGCTGGAAAATGGTAGGTGATTTATAGCTATCACTTCAAAGCAGCCACAGCTTACTTTGAAAGACAGCTTTTTTTGGGGGGGTGGGGGGGAGGGAAAGTAATACTTAAATTCACACTTCCATTTACCTGATGCAGGAGTACAGAAGGCAGCTAGTAAGGGTAAGGTTGCCTTTCAGGCTGCTTTTCTGGGCTGGGGATATGCGGGAGTCTTTTTTTGCTCAGTCAGCTTTGACTTCCCTGTGCATCAATAGCTGTTCAGAGCCTTGTCCTTCCTTCACCTACGCAAGCAGCACAATAATTTAGTTAAGATTATTTTAGCATCCCTTGCCCATTTCTTACTGTGTAAATCTCTTCACCCTGCTGCAGTCTAATCCCTTTATAAGAAGCCTGTGCTGAGCATTTATCCTCAGAAATGCCAAGTATTCAGCTGTGCAGGGTTCCCAACCAGCAGAAAAGCTGGATTTATTCTATTTGATGATACTTCAGGTGTATTTACCTAGTCTGAATTTTCTGAATTAACCATCCCTCTTTAGGAAGTAAAAACTTTTTGGTCTTGCTTTTAAACTATCCTGAAAAAGGAATAGCATGTGCACCAAAAGACTGCCAGCTATTTCTCTTTTGGCATGTCTGGAGGTCCCACTTGAGGATGCTCTTTGAATCAGATCTGTACATTTGCTGCTAGTGACATTGTGAGGGAGTCTGGAGAGTGGTGACATGTATTTTCCCTGTTTGCAGGTGAAGGTGGGATCTGGAAGAAAAAGCATCTTTGCACAGAAGATCGCAGCAAGAAGAGCCGCGGAAAAGGCAGCGGCAGCTCCCTCTGCTGCTGAGCCTATGTGGTCGGGAGCAGATCCTGTGGGTTCCCCGGCTCCTGAGGAGGCGGTGGGAGAGGCAGCACCCCCCAGACACGGGGATGGTAAGTGGAGGAGACCAGCATGTGTTGGCGTGGCCTGAATCACCATAAGTTCTGGATGTCTTTCCTTTAAATTAGGGAAGTGTTGTTGTTGTCAGTTTTCAGGTTCCACGATCATTTGGAATGTATGGTGTGACTGGGCTTTGAAACTGAGACTCGAGTCAGCCTTCTGCAAACAGGCTCAGCTTTTTCCCTAGCTGCCTTTTGTTGCACACAGGGCCAAATGGATTATTTTCTTTTAGGTTCTCTTCCTTGTTCCTTCTGGCTGCCACATGCAAGGCTTTTCTTGTTTACTCAGCGATTCTCCCAGTTTTAGGAGAGATTCTTTTCTTTGTGCCTTCTTCATCAGGCACAGGATATAGGATATGGGTCCTTATTCCTGCCTAGGAGCTGTAAACTGAATCTTCCCTTGCTGCATCCTCTGCAATGAGCCTGCATCTTTCCGCTGCAAGGAAGGCTGTGAGGCAGTGCTGATGAGTCAGTGCCGCCTCCGGCAGTTACTTGTCTGACAGGAACGTGACAAGGAAAGATGAAACCAATTCAATGGGTACCACCTTCTCCTTGTTTTTTTTTTTTTTTTTTCCCCTCTTTAAGACTGTGTTAGTCTTATCTGCTTAGGACCACCATGTGTCAGGGTTTTTCCCTGACATCTTTTCCACATTGAAATGGAGGCCAGGTGGTATTTGAGTTTTTCTGCTGTTTGTCTAAGGCTTCCATCAGCCCTGTTCCCTGTTAGAGTGTCAGTAAGAGAGCCCCCAGCAGGCTATGCCTGCTGTGTACACACAAATTCACTGTCCAGATTCATTACTGCCTGTCTGACACTGCTTACTGTGTGTCCTGGTACAACAGTGTTTGTGTTCCTCTCTGAGATACCCCAAAAGGGAACGCAGCAGCTCTGCAGCTGTGATCCTCTTAAAGGAAGAGATAATGCCCCTAAAACCGGGAGGGATCAGAAAATGGCTTGACTTCCTCTACCAAATTTCTGGGCCAGAGGATTTGCAGGAGGATAGCTAGAGTAAGGCAAGTAGCTCCATCTCTTGTAACAACAAATTATTTGTCTGGTAGCTCCCAGCTCGATGGCTGGCAGAGTGAAACTGGATGAATCCAGGCTGCTGAGCTCCCTTATGTGTTCCTGCTCAATACACAAGATTTGTTTGATGTTGTTTCCATAGTAGTTGTTATTGATGTTGCAACAAATGTGGTCACTGCTGTTTGAACACAGGTTTGGTATTTTAAGGATTGACTGATCTAGAGTCCTTGGGGTGCGTCTTGTCACTGAATGGAGCTAAATGGGGGGGTGGAAATGATAATAAAGATGTGAGTAAATCCTTTTACAGTTAGTTGCAGGCCAGCTCAAGGATCTCTCTTTCTTTGATAAAAGCAGCATGTTGTACTGCTGCTAGAGTTAAATGGAATGAGCCCTTAAGAAAGGATTTAGATCGACCGATTAAGGAGACTTGGTTTTGCTCAGGGTAATAAAAATGCCCCCTGCTGAAACCTGAACCTGTAGTATGTTCAACTCTGAAGGTGAATGGAGGACATTAGTGGCAAACTTTCCCATGTAGCAAATTTATCTGTTTGCTCCTTATGCTTTCTTGTCACTTTAAGCTGTGGCTTCTGAAATACCTGAATATTTTATAGAGTAGAGAATAGATCCTTTGCCACAACAGAAATGGGATTGCAGAATAATCTTTATTCTCTGGCTCAGCAAATATTTACTAGATCATGGTTCAACTGACGTAAAAGACGTGGGTTAAGGTCTCTACGGCAGAGGGAGAATCTGATGTTCATTAACTACAAGGATGCTCTGATCTATCTGTTGGTGAACTATGCTAAATTTTCCCCTTTCTTTCTATTGCTTTGCTTTAAAGAAATGAAATACCTTTTTCCTGACCCTGTATACACCTACAGAATCAATGAAGTTTTGGAAACAATGTTTTGTTGTGACATGGGATGAAAGCCCAGATAATTTTAGTTCAAGCTAAACTAAGCTTATTTACCCTTGTTTTGACTAAGCTAATAAAGTGAGAAGAATTGGTAAGACTGTAGACACTTAAATCTCTAACCACTTTCATTGCTGGATCTCCTAGATGAAACTGTTGACTTCTTGACCTCTCGGCGGCCCTGTATTATAACAGGAGAGGGCCTTGGAAGCGAAAAGAGTGAGCAGGAAGTTCAGGCTATTCACAAGGAGAACTTGAAGAAGCTGCAGTCCATGTCCCAGGAAGAGATCTTGCAGGAGCGAGAGAGGCTTCTGGCTCAGTTGGGTATGTGTTTCATGGAGTGAATCCTAGACGCATGAGTTTTAAACTTCAACATGTAGGTGCTCTGAAGTCTCACCAAATTCGCAAGTCAACGATGACAGCTTTGGATCCCTATACATTGCATACTGAGATCTTTTTTGTTTAGCATGTCAGTAACTTGAGGCTATGAACTAAATGTGAAGAAACTGAGTATAGCTTAAGCCTCGCTATCTTCTAGATGGAGAATGCAAAGAAAAATGTGTTTTGCCAGAGGGAAAAAAAAATGAGACGTGGTAGATCTGCAAGTAAGATGGTAATGTTCTGACACTGTCCTAGTCACATGAATATTATTATTTGTCCCCCCAAATACCACTACCTTCCAGATATTCCCTTTCTCTTCCAAAATGAATGGCTACCTATGTTTTCTGAGTGTTGTCAGACCATAATTAGCTGTGAGGATAGGAAGTCAGTTCAGAAAGGACAAGAAATCTCCCTTCTTAAGCTAATGTCTAGACCATACCCCGCAGGTCTGCAGTTCACCAGAGTAGGGTCGTTTGCTTGTTTTTGTTTTTAATGATGCATTTCTGTGTATCCTTGCAGCCTTCAGATTGATGTTCCTGAGCAATCCATAGGCAGGGGCTGTCAGACCTGGGTTCAGCCTATAAATCAGGCAGTATTCTCACTGTGATGAAGAGTTTGCTATGGAGGTACCTTTCCAGTAGCAGTGAGGGGAAAGAAACAAATCTGTGCTTGTTTGTAATTCAGGAGGATAAATAGAACTTTTGTCACTGCTTTACCTTAAAATACTTTTATAAGCTCTTTCTGTGGTGTTGTTTCCCCAGTCAATTGTCCCCAGCTTATGTGATCAAGAGGCCAGAAAGCAGTTAAGTGCCTCGGTTTGAACAGAAGTGACAGTTGGCACAGAAGAGAGGATATGTGAAATGGGAGAGAAAAGACTTAAACATAAATAGTAGAAGCTGGGCGCATGAAGTATTTTGAGATTTCCTGTCACTTCTGTCTGTCTCTTTGTCAATACTTGCAGATTCCAATTTAGTTGCTTTCTTAAAGTCACGACGTGGTGGTAATGAAGATCAGCAGAAAAAGGGATTAAAAAAGGAGCAGAACAGACCAGAGGAGTCTTTGGAAACAGTACCTATGGCTCAAGACAGTGTAGGAGTGTCTCCTTCCTTACAGCGTTCAGACATGGAAGAGTCTCTAATGAAGGAAGAAAATACAAAAGTAGAAATCACAGGTAAAAAACAAGTGCATGTTGTTAATGCTCTGAATGTAAAAGTAACACTTGTGTAGTGCTTGAACCATTCCACATTAGACTTCTGTGACTCTGATAATTATTCAAATAAGTTTTGTCACAATATTTTAAAAAAATCATATTTAGGTTCAAAGGAGCGCTCTTTCTTAGCCTCTGTGGATTAGAAAGAGAATGGCCCATATAACAGAAGTGATTTATGGAGTGGGAGTGTTTTTTTTTTTTTTTTTTTAATTCATTCCGAGATCCCCGGAGGGAAAATTTTGTACAGTAAGCGCCTTTTCTTTTCCTTTTTGTCATGTAAGTAGGGAAGCAGAAGAGCAGTGGTGAGATAGAGCTGCTGCTTGAACAGTTCCTTTTAACTAGAGGGACAAGAGGGTGTTGGGTAACTCCCCCTAAAAAATGTTGCCGTTTGTTCATGGGGTAGCATGGAGACGCTGTTGGTCTTGTTCCAGTGCATTTGCTCATATAACACATATGTCCTGTTGTGAGCTTGCTCTTGGTGCCGCTGCGTGTGGCTTGTGTCTCAGCCCATGTGGTGATTGCCAAGGATACAGCTCTTGTCCTTGTGCTAGGCAGTTACAGCAACTCTTACCTCTTCCTGGCAGTTTCTTGGAGGACAGAATTGTATTCCCCTTAAGCTTCTGCTCTTGGTGCTTTCGTCCCGGGGTTTTCTTTGGAGCCTTTTCCTTTTCTCTGCAATGATGGTATTCTCTCATTTTTATCTTCCTCCACATTTTGTGTAACACGTTTCTGTCTCTCATTACTGTGTTTCTCCCACATTTTCATGATGATCTCGGGCAGTCTTGGTCTTCTGATCCTGGTTTCTGATACAGTCTTTGTGCCCCAAAGTGCCTTTGTGTCCCTTTGTGTCTTTGTTTAGTCAACCTGGCAGGCTGACTAAAGAGCCTCTGAATCACTGCTGAATTTCAGCCTGGTATTTGTGAAAAGAAAACAACCATTTACCACTTGCTTGATGAGAAGGATGTGTGTGTATACATATGTGTGTATGTACATACATATACATGTATACACACACAATGTGTGTGTGCATTTGCACAAGCAGGGAAATGAAAGCTGAGTAAGCTTCTTACTGAAGAAAACACCTCACTTAAGTTGCTCTATTTCTCCTTAAGTTTTACTTCTCGCCAAATCCATCTTAATCAACAGGACTATTTTAGTTCCTTAGTTCTAGAACATTTGAGTGCACAAATAACACTAGATTAAGTGACATTCTTTTACTCCCCTGGGATCAGGGAAGTGGATTGCTTGGCCTGTAAAGACTGAACAAGATTGTAGCGGTGCCCTTGGGAATAGCTCAGTATTCCAAGTGCTCTGTGCTGACAAAATCTTTTGCTTCCCATGGAAGACTGCACAGGAAAGGAAAAGGGGAATTTTCCCGGAGATTTCAAGTAGCGAAGAAAGGATGAGGTGAAGCACAGTCCTGAAACCAAGGGAAGCCTTCCCAGCACCTGAGTTGATGCCTGCAGCTCATTTTGGGCAGGAGCAGATGTAAAATATTAATTTTACATTAGCACTTAGTCTTGGGATTTTGCCTCTGTTAGTGCTCAGGAGTGAGCTCCTCATGAATAACCCAGCAGAAACGGTTGCTCTGAATTTCCCCAGGGAGAGGATGATGACGTGAGGGAACAGGACTGCTCAAAAGTCAAACCTGCTTCTTTAATGAGATAAAAGACTGCTGCTTCTAATAAGCCAGGTGCTGAACCCTTTGTCCAGAACTGTAATCTTACCAAATGGGAAAGTAAATCTTGGCACTAGGACAAAAGGAAAAGCAGAACAGAGAGGGAAGAGGTTGGTCGGTAGCCTTTAATATAATGCAAGCTTAGAAAAGTTCAGTACAAATGTTGCTAACTGTCAGTTTGTCTTTCTGTAAAGGGATTTCTTAGTAACCGAACAATCTGCAGCTGCTGTGGAACATGTATTCGTCTCTTCTTGTTGACAAGATCATAATGCTGGGGCTGATGGTAATATGTGTAATCCTATTCACAGAATGATTAACTCAACCCTATCAATTTAGTGATGAATGGAGAAGGAGCAAACAATTTGTTGAATTACAAATGTCAGTAGATTTCATTTTTCTGCTGATTTTTATTTCCTCTGGTTTTGCACCCACTACCCACAAACATTCCAGTTTCCTACATTGCTTTTTTTTTTTTTTTTTGGTCATCTCTTCTGTTAAAATGTGTGCTGAGCCTTTGGCTGAAATTTTGTGGAACAGCCTTCTGGCTGGGGCTGATAACTCTCTGCTTGGTTCCTTGCCTGACTCAATTCCCCATCGATCAGAAAGGTGAAGTGGGCCTTCCTGGAAACTTATCTGCTAACTGGAGGAACATAAAAGGTTGGGTCACAGGCCAGTTATCCACAGGATAAGATCTGATGAATGAAGAACATCTCTGTGGGATTCATTCTTCCTTGTAAGAAAAGATTAGAGCAGCTAGGATTAAGAGCTGTAATGCAAATGATTTCTGAACTTGTTTTGCTCCAGTAGGAGCCTTTGCTGCTGTTAGATGGTTTTCAGTTATGTCTCAACTCTCCCTTCTTTTGCGAGATTCTTCCACAAGCTGATCTGTCTCTTTCCAAGGGCTTTTCTCACAATGTCAGTCAGAAGTGTCTTGCCTTTCAAAATCTTCTGGTCAGAGATTTTTCTGATATGTCTGATGAGTAATCTCTTTCCTTAGTACTTGCACCTTTCAAATTCTTGTTCAGTTGTCAAGCTTCCCTTGGCTTTTTTCTCAGGCAAGTTGCATGTATTTTGATCTGTTTTGGTCTTTTTCTGTAATTTGATCCCTTCAAGTCTTTAGAAGGACCCATAATCACACAGAATCACAGATTGGTTGAGGTTGGAAGGGACCTCTAGAGATCATCTAGTCCAACCCCACCCTGCTCCAGCAGGGACACCTAGAGCACATGGCACAGGGTGGCATCCAGGTGAGTTTGGAAGCTCTCCAGAGAAGGAGACTCCACAGCCTCTCTGGGCAGCCTGTTCCAGGGCTCTGCCACCCTCACAGGAAAGAAGTTCTTCCACACATGAAGATGGAAATTCCTGTGTTTCAGCTTGTACCCATTACCCCTTGTCCTGTGAAGAGCAATATTGCAGGTACCATGGAAGTCTGAGCAGTAGCATTGCCCTTCTCTCTGACGTATTTAGGTTGAAATGGTGCTGACTTCCTGAAAACTGTACTTTATTCCAGGCCAATTACTTGCTGTGATCTTTCTGCATTGATACTTCTTTTGAATTTTCTTACTCTCTCACTCCCTTTTGTTTGAATGATACTAGTTTCCCTTCCCCAAAAGTAGGGCTCGTATTTTCTGCCCATGTTCTGATCTCTTCGCCTTGTTTGTTTTCTGACTTCTGTTCAACTTCTCCCAAATTAGACCTGTCTTGAATTTTATTACAGTGCTGTTTAATTCCTCTTCTAGCTCTCGTGAAAGATTAAAACAGTTTTAAATCTTTGATGTTTATGCATCAGCCAACAGTCAATTTGAAAGTTATTTTCTTCTTACTTTACATGAATCCAATATTTGATGCAGTCTTGAGCCAAGTAGGTTGGCAAAAGGGGAACAGTATTTTCTTAATTTCTTCGTTGGAAGGTAAGATCACTTTTTCACTTATTTTTTTCTCAAATAAGAGATTCTGCCTGTGAAGCCCAAGAAGGAATGGATTCACATGGACAATGTGGAGTTTGAGAAGCTGGAATGGATGAAAGATTTACCTCCACCACGGCAGAAGAAAACCAAAAAGGTTTGAAAGCAGAAATTGATTTTCTTCAGGTTGTTTGTAGGATGCGTGGTTCATTTTTCTCAGCAGTAACAGTTTTGAAGGCATCATAAAATATTCTTCTGATTCCTCAGCCTGTAAGATTTCACCAGGCTGAGATATTCTGTGGTCTTTTCCATGGGGGGGAACATCATCCATCTTGTCTCTAGTGCTCAAGTAAGAGTCTAGCAAATGTGGTCTGTAAGGAACAGGCCTGAAAGCTAAGGGGGGGGGAAAAATGTAAGTATATTTCAAAGATTGTGAGGCCTGATCTGTGGAGTTTTTGAGCTGTCTGCTTCAAGCAGTTGATTTAACAAGTGTTATCTGAAGTGCTGGATGGAGCAGAAGGCAGAATAAGTAATCTTGCTTCCTTTTATTGTAGGGAATGCAAGCTAGATTCAGTTTGAAAGGAGAGCTGATTCCTGCAGATGCTGATTTACCTACTCATCTAGGCCTGCATCACCATGGAGAGGAGGCAGAGGTAGGTGTAATGTAGTAGAAAGGAAGACTCCTTTCTGTCTTCAGTGTTCAATTGATCAGGTCCATTTTCTGTCAAGCGTTTTTAGTGACAGAAACCTTAGGGAAAATGTGGAAAGGTGGTTTCCTTTTGAAATGGGCTCTTGAAGAGAAGTGGGTCTGCATGAATTAACTGCTTTGTCTGCTTTCAGAAAACTCCATTAATAGTTTTTTTTTTCCTTAACACTATTTAGAATAAGATCTATCAGGGAAAAAAAATGCACGCGCACCCTTTTCTTAAGAAGTTCAGCTTTTTCCTCTCAAAGTGCTAACTAGAATCTCTCTGGCATTTGACACTAAGCAGCAAGCAACATTGCTTTGCAGTTTATTTCCTGTTATGCAGTGTTTTACAGCTCATCTTTTATGTATAGTCCTCTTTATGTTCATCTTCTGGCCTTTTTTTTTTTTTTTCCCTCTCAACTTAGAGAGCTGGTTATACTCTCCAAGAGCTCTTCCATTTATCTCGCAGCCAAGTTATTCAACAGAGGACCCTGGCTCTACAGATCTTGGGTCGTATTGTTCAAAAGGTAAGTGACTTTCCATGGAATTCTTCCCTGTAATTCAAATTCCTCATGGCTCAGGGCCCATATTGTCTGGTAATTGTTGTTTTCCTTTTCACTATTTAATCAACATGAGAAAAATCACCAATGGGGGTTTTTTTACATTCCCCTCTCTGTTAGATAGGGTGCTATGATGTTTTTAAAATAGTCTCAACTTTTCCTGGTCAGAAATGCTTCCAAATGTTTTTCTCCTGCAAGTTTTCTAGGAGGGTGAGAATGAACTAGCCTACTCTTAGTGCTAAATGCCAACACTATATGGCAAAATGCATATTTACTTCTATGCACCTTTACACTTAGCTCTCAGGCAAAGTGCTACCCTTCCTGCTAGTAGCAAGGGAAGCAGAGAAGGAGTGGTCAAAGATTGTGATTATTATAGTAGAATGGTTGTGGATTAGTCAGTCTGATCTAAGCAGAAAATAAATTCCTGTACCTTAAACCAACACCAAGTTGCTGAAATGTCATCAGAACATGAAGTTATTTTTAGGACTTTGGTTGGGTTGCCCTTGAGTCACAGAATTTTAAGTTGAAAGAGATATTTGTAGCACACAAAGCAGGGTGGATATTCTGGTGGCTTCCAGACCGTGTGCATTGTAACTGCTCTTGAGGCATGTGCCCTGGGTATAAACAAGGGCCATGTGTTAGTAGATAATGGTCCTTAAAAGTCCCCCTCTTCTGGGATACCAGTTTGGAGACTCAGCAATTTGTGATGCCTGCCATGTAGAGCAGTCCTAGGGTAGTATGGAAGACTCTGCAATAAAAGAAGGGGCTCAGAATGTGGCTTAAGTGCTCAGTTTTATGGTATCTAAATGTGCTTTACTGTACTGCTTGGCACTGTATGTCTTCCTGTGCTTCTGAGATCGCAAGCATTTCTTTTTGCCCTTTCATATCACTACTTTTGACTGCTTAAAAAGGTCATGCACCTATAGGGTAATGTTGCAGTCTTCTTGGAGAGCAGCTTTTCACAGAGCACCCTGTTATGTTGACAGTACACAGTTTATCTGCTTTACAATTAAAATGGGAAGCTGCTTTACAAATGAAGTGAGAAGCAGTCAGTGCCCAGAATGTTGATCCATAGCTGGTTGAGGTGAGACAGCATTAAAACTGACTCTTTCTGTGATATCTTTCAGTCCAAGGCTGGGGAGTTCGCATCCTCCTTGAAGGGCAGTGTTGTGCGTCTGCTCCTTGATGCTGGGTTTCTCTTCTTGCTGCGCTTTTCCTTGGATGATGCAGTGGATAATGTCATGGCAGCATCTGTTGCTGCTCTCCGGGCTCTCCTGGTGTCACTCGATGATGAGGTGAGAGAATCATTAAGTGCTCAGGTTTAATCTCGTACTAAGCGGCTTGTAAGAATCAGAAGGAGAAGATGAGGTAAGTAGCTCAAATGAAGGCTTGCTGAACAGGTCAATTAGATGTTGTCTTGAGTTCTGCTCAAAGTTAAATTCAGTGCAGGTTGCTGAGCTTTTAAGTGGGTGGGTGGGTATTTTTTGTTGTTGTTTTTTGTTTTGTTTTGTGATCGTTATCAGATCACCACTAATGCAAGTATAGTATTTGGTTCTTTTAATATGGCTTATTGTGTTCTTGGCTTCTTGCTTCACACTTTTTCTGAACAGATCAGTGACTACATAGTCTCTGCATTTCCCTTCATGGCTAATACTAGTAGTGTTCTCTCTTCCTGTCATTTCCTATCATTCTTCCATGCTTTGTATTCCATTAACAAATACTCCCTTTCCCTTCTTCCATGTCTGTTTTAACCTCCTTGGTGCTTTTTCCCATGTTAAGACTGAAGCTTATTTTGGGGTGTTCAGAGATACTGATTGACCTTGAGCATCCAAATTGTGCTGTCTTGGCTGGGGAGAAGCAGACCACTCTGGGCAAAGCAAGCCGTGGCCTGTGTTTCACGTTCCTTCCATGAAAGCCCCTGCGTGTCAGCCTGCAAAGGTGCTGCTAGAGGGGAAGGGTGGGGACAGATTTCAAGAAGTTTCTGGCAAGTCCTGTGAGGCCACCAGTACTATTCCCAGTGGGAAGGCAAGGCAAGCAAAGGATTGGGATGCTTCTCCCCACATCTTACTGCTTTTAAAAGCAACATGCCTAGCAGTATTCTCCCAGATGAGTCCTGCCCTTAATGTGCCTTTTTCCCTTCTGATATTACTTTAATTTGTATCTGTCTGCAGTGCTCTGTGTATTCTCAACCAAAGACTTAGGGCATTGTGTCTTACATAAGAAGAGATTGCTGAGTCTCTATATGCCAAAAGCAGCACTGAGTGCTGTGTCGCTGTATTTTATCGTTTGGAGAGTCCATCCTATAACTTCATGCTGTTGAGTTTCAGAACATATCTATCTGTGAGCAAGGGATAGGGCAGGAAGTTTGGCATTATTGCTTACTCTGGGCTTTGTAATACAAACAGGGTTTGTACACAGGCAATCAGCACATGACGAAGGCTGCCTAAACTTTTCCCTCAGTTGTTAGTGACTATGAGAAGTACCTCTCTGGCTTTCCTTCAAATACTCGTATGCCCTTTTGAGACTTCTTTTTTTTTCTAGTGGAATGAAGACTGTAGTCCCAAACTCAGTATTTTAGTTGGACTCCTGGCCTCATGCCCTAACATTCAGATTTTTCTGACTATGCCATTCACTTGCTTTCCATTTTTTTAAAAAATGTTGGATAACTCACAACCAGTGGCAACTTTCGCTTGTTTCAGGAACATCTCAGACTTCAGCTGAAGTCTAGCATTTTTTGTTTTCTGAATAATGTGGTTATTTCTGAATACTAAATCATGAAATTTAAAGTAGCTATTAAGTGGTAAAAACATTGGAATAAAATTTGTAATTTTTCACATTCTAAAACATGGAGAAAGGAGGTCTGGTTTGGGCACAGTCCCTTCTCTTTGGAGAAAGTAGGTCTGGTTTGGGCACAGTCCCTTCTCTGAGGAGTTGAAAGCTCGTTTATTGCAGAGCTGCCCGAGAACGAATACATTGGATAGTGTTTATTTTGACATGAGGAATTTAACATAACCATTCTGCATTATTTGTGACTCATGCAAGTTCTGCATTGCATCCTGCTTGTACGTGTTTAGAATACCGTTCATTGCAGGGATAGGTGGGAATTGATTAAGCACTCTGTAATAAGTGTCTTAAAATATTTTCTTCTATAATTTCCTAGAAAATTTTATTTTACATGCTCTTCTTACAGAAATATCTTGATTGGACTTTCTCGTGGTATCAAGGAATGGCTGCATTCCCCTTCGTCCCCAACAGTGAAGAGGAAGACGAGGATGAAGAGGATGAATTAACTGGAACTGAGAAGTCTCATGGCAAAAAATCAAAAGATGAAAACAAGCCAGATGCAGATGTGGCTCGATATGATGTTGTAAAAGTAAGGACAGAGCAGGATCTGAAATCTTGTTAGGAAAATATCCTCTGCATAAGGATTTTGTGTGTTGCTGAATTGAATACCATCCTGTGGACGTTATTAGAGCCTTCTGAGCAAGCATTAGGCTCTTCCTTCACTGTTGGGTATTATGTTGCTGTCATATTACCAGAAGGATAATTTTCTTGACTTTTTGATCTGTTACTTTGGTATCATTAAGTTCTTTCGGAGAAATCAGCAATAAGTACACTCATGGCCTTGAAATAGATAGGTACACACATATGTACTTTTTTGTTCCAGATTTGCTGAAACATTATCTTTGAAACTCACTTGCTTTGAATTCAAAGTGTAAAAATTCCAGTCGCTACTGAAGTGTCTCTATGCACTATTGCAAAGTTTACAATGAGCATTAAACCTAGATGGCTCTGAACTAGCTAGACTTGCACACTAATGTTCCCTTTTCTGTTTGGCATAACATTTAGTATTCCATATATATATACATGTATACATACACACACACAAATACTCTCTATTTTTTTAAATATTATTTTTTTTTAAGTGTTTGGAAAAAGATTTTGTTGCCTCCACAGAAAATACAGCAAGACATTATCGCACATTTTTTTTGAGAATACTTCAATAATCTCCTCAAAGGATTCTGCACCTCCAATCTAATTTTTGTCAAAGCCTAAGCTCAGAGGATATTTGGGATAAAATTCTCCACTGTACCAGTTCTTGTGAACTTCCATTTAATACTTTTTTTATTTGTTGGTACAACCCAGTCACTGCAGGTAGTTGGAAAGAGGAATATGTAAATCAGTAGCTGAACTTAGACCTAGAACTAAAACCTTACCCAACTGCAACTTTTTACAAGTATCTTCACTGCAAACTCTGGTGTTTTGGAATTGCCTTTTCCTGGACCTGGGAATGCATAACACTGTCGCTTAAACATTTTTTTTGTCATACTGTCACACTCTGATTGTGGCCTCTTGCTCTTTGAGGCAAGAAAAATCACATCATCTTTCTGCATCTCTCTCTCTTCCTACTGTGAAATAGGAATAAGTGTCTGTTCTTTGTTTCTGTCAGTTTTTTTTCTGAGATAACAGGTATTGTCAGCATTAAAGACAGAGTGCTGAGTTAGGTAGGTGGGATAGGCCAAAAAATGAGCATGAGTACCTTTTCCAGTAACACTGGGTTTTAGTGGTCCCTTATAAGAAAGGTTATTTTTCTGTTTGTGATCACTTTACTCATGGTTTTGTCCTCTGAAAAACAGAAGTATCCAAACCCTGCTAGTGGTCTGACTTAAAACAAAAGTTGAAATGTTCCTGCTGTCCTGCAGTAACTTCTGCTCGCTTGCTTGCATACTAGTAAATCTGCAGAAACTTATCTCTTCGTTTCCCCAGCGATGATTTAAACACCCTTTATCGCTAGAAGAACTGAATGTGCTTTTCCCTTCAGTGGCTGCAGTGCAGAGAGCAAGGATTAGGAGCATAAGGGAATTATTTTTTCTCCCAGGGACTTTTGAAGACGCGGATCCAGCACCGGTTGAGGTACATCCTTGAGGTGGTACGACCTGTTCCGACTGTAGTCCTGGATATCCTGCACATTCTCACCCATATAGCGAGGCACTCCTCTGAGGCATGCAGCCAGGTAAATCTCCTGTTGTACCAGGAGCTCAGGAATGCTGGAAAAAGGCCTGAGAAAGGGAGGAGGAGAACAGATGAGGGTATGGTAAGGGACAGACTCGTGTTTCAGTGCATTGCTGCTAAAATTGCTCCCCTGTAGTTATTTGTGCTGTCTGCTGTTTCTCTGCAGCTGCTTGACTGTCCTCGGTTGATTGAGACCATTGTCAGGGAATTTCTCCCCACACAGTGGGATCCCCGAGTGGCTGAACCGGGGTGTTTGCTCACCAGTGTCCACGGAGTTCCTTGTGCCAGCGCTATGAAGTTCCTCAGGGTGTTGGCATCTGGAGGCCGAAATGCAGCAGCCCGGATGGTGAGTTATTTTTGGAAGAGCTTTTCTGGTGGCAAAGGCCTCTGTTCTCTGTCTTGCTTTCTACAGAGATTTAACTGGATGTGACTCTGAGCTGAAGGCCTGGAACTGGGAGCGATTGGGTCATGATTCTGCTTGCAATGTCAATCGGGAACCAAGTGGTGCAGTAGGGTCAAGAAAATGATTAAGGCATTGATTAAGGCATGATTAAGGCATATCTGACATACAAGGAAAAGCTGAGAGTTGAGATTGGTTAGCTGTGAGAAGTAAAAGCTCAGTGGGGAGTATCTTATCAGTGTATTTAAATACCCAAGGAGAGGGAGTAAAGAAGACAGGCAGACTCTTGTTAGTGGTGTCCAGTAAGAGGACAAGAAGCAGTGAGCACAAGGATATTCCACTTGAGCATTTAAAAACAAAACAAAAAAACTGTCAAAGTGTCACAGGCTGCACAGGAAGATTGTGGGCTTCCCACTCTTGAAGATACTCATAACTCAATGGACACAGCCCTGAGCAACCTGGTCGAGATGGCCCAGCTTTTAAGCAGGGGTGTTGAATTAGATTTCCAGAGATCTTTAACCTCATCTGTTCTGTGATCCCATGTCTGTAGGCTTGCAGATGGCTCAAGTGAAGGGCAGCTCCTAGCACCGCTGTCTGCGTCCCACAGCTGTCTTCTGCTAGCTGAAGGCAAAGTTTAAAGGCCACTTGGAAGGGGAAGTAAAGAACCTAAAGTAACTTGTAAGGAAGGGTCATACGGGTGAAGGAATTGCTGACAGTGTCACAATAATGTTGCTTTCTACCTCTGTACTAGTAGAGGAACTGGCTCAAGTTTTCAATGTTTTTTGTTCTCTATAATGCAGCTACACAACCCTATGTAGCACAGCGCACTGATTCTGGTGAATAGGTAGATGCTCAGCATATTTTCAGGTTTATTGCTCTGTATTCTTCCATGTTTCACTGAACTCCAGCGCTTAAGACTTTTTTAAACCAGAGGTTATATGTTTTTTTTTTTCCTCTGCATTTTGTAGCCCTAGTTGAACTTCCCTGTCATGAATTTGTTTTTAACTTTGAGATCGTTTATCAGTATTTCCAACATCTCTTACTCACTTCTGGACAGGTGTTCCTCTTCGAAGATAACTGTGTTCACTCACATCATCCCATTGGGCTATAAATGCGTAACATCTACTAGCAGTAGGGGCCATTACAGTGCAGCGGGCACCTCTTGGGGTTTTCAGTTCAGTATTTTTAACAGTATCTAATAAATCGTCATCGAGGAAACAGCTAACATAAGCAATCATCAGAGCACACCAATCTGTGCTATAAAATGCATAATGGATGGCAGGATGTTTAAAGGCTGTAAGTGGCTCTGTGACATAATAAAAAAAGATCTTTGAATTTTATACCTTCTCAGGCTCTGTGTGCTCCAGGTTTTTCAAGGTGTGAAAAAATGCATACAAGGTTCTGGCCACTCAAGTTTTTGTCTATTGTGCTTTGACATAGCTTATGACAGGCATTTAAATATGGAACTGGATAATCAAAACTAAAATAATCAGCGTGAGAATGTTCTGAGGCTTATTTTACTTAACAAAATTCTTCCTCTGGAAGTAAAATTGACTTTGTCCTCTGTTCTGTAGGAGGGGTGTCAGAATTCATAGCTTGATTCATCATATCCTTTGCTTTCTTGCTGCTGTACGTTGATTTTCCTACAAGATAATTCTAAAGATTTTGGAATTTTATTATCCATGTGTTCTGAAAAAGAAATTGTCAACTCATTTGCTAGGCAGAGCACACATAAGCTTTTGTATGTGTGGGAGGGGGAAAGAGAAGCTCTGTCTTATGGTTAAGCAAAAATATCCTGTTGTTGGGGAGGATAAAAATTATTTCTAGAGAACTGTAAATGAGTCATGTTATGGTTAGTTCAAAACTAAAATAGCCTCAGAACATTTCCAAAGCTTCAAAATCCTATAGTCATACAAGACTAATAGTCAGGAGATACCCTTTTTGTAAAATACAGAGTTATAGAAAGATTTAGGTTGGAGGATCTATGAAAGCCATCTAGTGTGGCATCCTAAAAAGCAGATCAGTATCCTTTCAATAGTGCTATATTCAGTGTTTTCCATAAGATACACGTTTGCATATAAACCGGAATAATGAAGTTTTGTTTGTGACGAGTTAAAGAACAATATTTTTGTATTTAAAATACAAGTTGAATGGTATAGAGAGCGTTCAGAACAAGAGTGTGTGGAGGTTAGAGAAGCAACTGTCAGGAATGGTCTAGATCTGTGTTTGGAAAGGATTAGGTAATGCCAGGCATCCCTCCAGGCAAGCTCCTTTGGTCATAGCAATTGTACATTTGTAGCAAATGGTCAGCCAAACCTTTGTATCAGGCACCTGAAGATTACACAAACTGAGGGCAGATTTAAGCAGTGCAAGGGAAGCTTAGAAATAAGCTGAATGGAAATTTGCAGCTTTTTGGTGTGTGATGCTAATATCTGAAACATGATTTGATATTTCATATCTCTGTTTGCTTTTGTTTTACAGCTCAACAAACTTGAAATGAAGAGTCGGTTAAGTCGATTTGTAGCAGAAGACCCTCTGGACCTGCTCCTGCCGAGGGAAGAAGCCATCAGGCTGAGCACGGAAGCTTTTCGCCTGTGGGCTGTGGCTGCTGCCTATGGCCAGGCCTGTGACCTTTACAGGTATGGCACAAAGGGGCAGAAACTGCGAGGGCGAATGTGGGGCCTGCAATAGAGAAAATGGGCATTCTGTTCTAGAGGAGCAAATACAAAGGTGTCCACTCCCTTCAGGGAGTTTACCTCCATTTCCTCAACTTTCTGCAGTAAAGCTTCCGTTTTCTCCTCCATTGGAGGAGGTAGTTGTTGATTTTTGCATGGTCATAACTTCTGGTTCCTTTGGGCAAGAATTTGAGAACTAGGGAAATAAGAATAAAATGAAAATATTTCTCCCAAGGGGTTATCCAGCTCAAATACTTGGAGGCGGAGTATCAGAGTATTAGGTGGGTCCCATGTAGCTGTTGGTAAAGAAAGAATGTAGTTATTCCAAACATCGCCCCTCCCCCCCCAATGTCTGTCTTTTCCAAGTTTTTTTGTGGGTGGGGATGTTATGGTTCACTCTGCCATCCCTCCTGCAGGGATCTCTACCCGGTGCTGGTGAGGATTCTGCAGTCTCTGCCCGAGTTGCTTGGCGCTTGCCATGAGAAGAGCCCCCTGCTCGAGCTGTCCGTGCAGCGGGCCGCGGCGCTGGTCACCCTGCTGACCCACGTGACGCAGATGGCAGGCTGCGCTGCGGAGCTGCAGGCCCAGCAGAGCAGGTAGGTCCTCTGCCCTCGCCCCTGCTGCCATGACCTGAGAGCCTGGAGTCCTCCCTTTCCTCTCTGCAGTTCAAAGGCCTGCCTCTGGCTTCTCTTTTTCCTTCGTTTTGGATGGTTTAACATTGCATGCGTGAATCTCCACGTGAGGGAATGTCTTCCTGGGATGTGTGTGCGTATGCACACACACACACACATATGTATTAAGGAAATAATATATATTTAGATACTACAAAGTCAGAAGGAGTGTCTAGGCTGATGGAAAGCTGTATGCCTGATAGTCTGACAGCAGGAGTAAAAATTCAGCTATGGGGCAGAAGGGCAGTTAGTCAAATACTCTCCGGAAAGAAGCTAGGAAGCTCCGTTCACCTTCCTTTTCAGAGAAAAGAAAATAACCTCCCTGATGCTTAGAGGAAACAACTTCTCTGCAGAGATGAAGATGGGCCACTATTAAGAGACATGGGTTGCACGTTTGTTGCTGTTGTAAGTGTCTTGGAGTTGCCTGTGGGCCAACAGACTTAGGAAAAGGATAGTATCTTCTGACCTAAAAAGACTGACGGTCCCTTTAGTGATTGGCCTTGCAGGGGGACTCTTGTGTACTGTGTGTGCCAGGCAGACCTCTGTCCCAGGGCTGAGTGACTGAGCACAGCAAGGACAGCACAAGGAATTTGTATCCATCCCTGCAAAGAGACTAGCAGGGATGTGAAAAATGTGGGATGTGAGCGAGGGAGGGCAACAGGGAGAGATGATTGTCAGAGGATGTCTTAAGAGACTGAGAACAGAATTAATATCTCTACTCCCTTCACTTCTTAAGCAGTAAGCATTTAAGGCTGTTGAACATAAATGGTGCATGATAAAAACAGTTTCTCAGGAGTGTTCTCCAGGGAGGGCCAACTTCACTGTCCTTTGCTATTAATTGATGAGGATAAGGCTAAGGAAGCTTGAAATCTACCTGTGTCAAAAATATGTCTGCCACAGTAAATTCATATGATTAAAAAAATAGTGCCGTTGTCAACGGCCACAGTCTATTTCTCTTTAGACAACAGAACAATCCTTACTTTTTCGTAAAGCCTTAGATAACCAAGCCTACTTCTGCAGAGCTAGATTAAATACAGTTTGGTGGTTTGTCCCTTTTAAGGCCTTTTGACTTTATTTGGTGTCTGTTAAAGACAAAGCCCCTCTGTATTTGTGAAAGCGCTTCTTTGCTGTTGTGCCTGAAACAGCAGAGAACTGGCTAAGATCCCATTCAGTCCTATGTTCCTTGATGTGAAAGCCATTTGTATGAAGATTAAAAGAGCACAGTGAAACTCTCCTACTTTGTTTCCCTATTTATCCTGGTATAAGATATAGCAGGAGCTAGAAGCAACAAGCAGAGGCTTGCAGAAGATCCTTACCTATTCCCTTTCAAACACAGAATGTTTGAAGCCTTCTGCATCATATAACTGAGCTCCCAAGGGGAACCAATCCCTAACTGGGCTCTTCACTTTAAAGCAATAGGCAGTTTTGTTCTGCTGACTAAAAGACACTTGGCAGTAAGGTCAGCTGTGTGTAGATGAGCTATATCTGTCATTACCTTTCCCTCTGCTATGCTTCACCCCTCCTACCTAATGTTTCTCAATAATTACTATTTTGTGAATTTGTGCCACTCCTGTCTCCTGTGCAGCTTTTGTTGATCATGCTGATTTTAGTAAGTCCCAGCTTCTTACTGCTTTATTCTCTACTCTTCTATAACGCAGGGAGAGCCTCAATGCTCCCCTGTCTTAATGGACCCCAACTAGTTGTGAGTTTCCCCCAAGAATCACTCTTGTGTCCTACTATTTACTACCTTGCAGAAGATGCATGTCAAAGTATTAAGGTTTGCTGAAGACACAACTACTTTTTTTTCCTGGTGAAAAACAGGAAGCTTTTGACTAATCTAATCCAAGCTGGAGGCTAGAGTAGCATGACAAGTAAAACTAGAAAAGAGCTTAAGGACAGGGTGATGCAGGTGAACAAATTATCTTGCCTGAGTAGCTTCTGCATTGAATTCTTCTAACTGAAGTGATTGGCTGGTCTTTATGAATGTGCAAAGATTTTATTTATTTTCCCCTTGGGACTGTCATTAGATATCTGTCTTCCAGACTACCTGTAATTGGAAAAGCTGCTATTAAAAATGATGATTTAGAGAAATTGCTTTGAGCCATGCTCATTATCCTGTGTCCTTCTCCCATTGTGTTTCAGTAATGCTTCAGAAGATGAGGAGCAGATTCCTCCTCCACCAGTAATGTGGAATCAAGTGTCAAACTTGCGGCCTTTCCTTGAGACAAGTCTGAAAATAATCCTCCAGGAGATATCCCAGACAGAAACTTGGCAAGCCCTCCAGCCTCTAACCACAACTTACATGATCTACCTGGGAGTTTATTACAGAGCTTGCAGTCAACAGGTACAGCCTGAAAACACGGGGTTTCTTTTCATCTCCCCAGCATCAGCTCGTATATGATCTGAAACACCTGAATTTAAAAGCAATGCTGAAGAGACAGGAGTTGCAGTTTCTTTGACCCTTCACAATAGCAATGCTAAATACTACTGTCTTCCTTTCTTCCTTGGGGCTTAGATTCTCAACCAGGTTATGCAGCAGTGCTGTAAATGCTCTGATTTACTTCAGAGGCCCATAGCATGCAGCAAGTATTACCTAATTCAGTTTGATGGCCCTTTCTGTCTGTGGGCTGCACATGGCTGCATCTTTGCATTTGTTGTGGGCTGAGAGCTTACAAGGGGACAGTTAAGCTGCAAGAGTCTGGTTTTAAGACTGAACTTTGAGGGTCAAAACATGTGAACTTGGAATAGGAAGCAATAAATACAGACTTATTTCCTGCCCCACTGATGTTCAAGGTCAAATTCTGTAACCCAGTTACTGTTGTGCTATATGGTCATCTTTTAAAATGAATTTTTTGAAGATAATCAATGTGATACCATTGAAGCATAATACCTTGCACTTCAGCTACTATAAAGGTTCATATTTGAAGATTTAAATGCAAAATTTCCTGTTACTGTCCAACTGACATTTCTAAGTCCTGACATGGAAGAGCCCACTTCAAGATATGTGGATAATTTAATGGCTGTGATTATTCAGACCTCTGCACCTTCTCTGACACATCACCCAAACAAATGAATTTATCAGTAATTGCTGCGGTGAAACCACCAGCATCTTTCAAAGACATCTTCAGTACTTGAGAAGTTGGTAGTAGCTTTCACCCAGTTTAGAGAACTAGGGGCTACCATTTTAACAATTCTGTACTCTTTATTAACATTTATAGTGACTAGCAAACGTAATTTCTTAAGTCCTTATCACACAAGAATTTTTATTTCCACTTAAATTAATCATCTTAACTGATAATATGATTTTAAAAAGGCATGTAACACATTTAAATAGACTAGTACAAAAAATCAACTGATACTTGATCTTCTTGGGGAAACTTTTGTTAGACTACTCTGAACTAAGGTTAACATCTCCTTGTAATTTTTGCTGACTGCTTTTCAGAGAGAGAGCTCAACTGGCGGGGCAAACTGGATTTTATTCTTTACAGTTATGAAAATAAGTATTTCTATATCCCAACACAGCCTTCTAATGAAGGGAAAATAAATTCTAAAAAGAAAATTGCCAGCATGTTCCTTAAACGTGGGATATTGCTTACTAGGGGCAGAAGAATTGGGAAGGTTCTCTAAAAGCTACAGATCCTCCTCTGTGCAGTGTTCATCCACAGTCATACCTTGGTGGGTAGGTCAATCTCATACTGCTGTTTTCTTTTCTTTTCTTTTTTTTTTTTTTTTAAAGAGTCCCTTATGGTCCTTCCTCTCCTTTTCTAATGTAGTTCTGATCACTTTGATGTTGTCTCCAAGTTAACTGAAAAGATTCGCCTATAGATGGGGAAGGGAAGAGGTTTTAGCTAGTTAAGGAAAGTTTTCGTTTAGGGCATTTTGCCCACGCCTTACTTCCAGCCAATTAAGAATTCTCTGTGATGCACTTTAATTCTTGAGTGGGAGGACACCTTGGGGCACCAGCTCTCAGCTTCCAGGCTGTTGTCAGCAGTGAGACTGGCTCTAACCTCTAGCAGTATCACTATGTAGAAGCTGTGCGTTGGCAAAGAGCATTTAAACAAGAGAAAATAATTAAATCAACCTACTTTTCTCCCTCATTGAAATGCCTGTATTCACCATCTTTTCCCCTCCTTTCCCATGTTTTCTGCAGCCATCAGTCAATCCAATTGACTGTTTAGAGGACCTGGAACACTTGACATGCGAGGTGCTGTTGCCCCTTCTCAGCCAGCCAGCCATGCACAGCATGTGGGATTTGCTCAGGTAAAATCATTTCGTTACTAAGATGCTGTTGGCAGAAGCAAAGGAAGGAAGGTGGGCAGGAATGGAGAAAGTAGAGTGGTTCAGGGATTGGGGACCTACTCACAGAAAAGCAATTGTCTAGTATTAGCCTAAAATACGTCAAAGAGCAGCTGTGCTTCAGACAGCTTTCCCTCCTCCTATTTCCTCATGTGTGTGTGTATATGTGTGTGTATATATATATATGTGTGTGTGTGTGTATGTGTATACATATATATATATATATATGCCCTGTAAAAATGATATTGCAAGTGGGGTGTAGTAGTGTTGTTACATATCTGTCTGTGCCTTGCCTTGTCTCCTTATGTCAGGGGAGTGCATGTATCATTTGTATGGTCTGTATGATTCTGCTTTCATAAAAAGATTTAAGCTACATTTTGTCTTTTTTAAGCAGAGTTTCACAAAGACCTTGAAAGCCCCTGCAGAAAAGAGAAAGGCTGTGTCCTGTCTTTTCAGCCTCTTGGATAATGTGAACTTTCTGAGACTCTGGTAAAATGAAGGATCAGCTAATCTCTTAAGATCCTACAGTCTTATTTGAATATTCTGGGCAGATTATGGCCAGTTTCCTGCAAAAGCAGGCAGATTTGTTTGCATGTTCCAGGAATACAAAGCGGCTGCTTGGAGTTCAGGCTACTACTTGGGTCCCAGATCAGAAGGTGCCCTTTGAAGAGCAGAGACCTTTCACTGACGGCAGTGAAAGAGCAATGCATTTAAGAAATAAATAGTTATGTCATAGAAAAAAAAAAAAAAAAAAAAGAGTGAATCTCTGACAGGGTATCCTCTACTGCCCCCCTATAGTTCAGCAATGGGCTGTGGGCCATAGCGGTCTTGCCTGTGTGGACATGGTATATGGCAGCTGAGGACCCTGTGAATATGCTGGTATGAAAGATTTTAATTTCACTTGAGGAGGGTGAGCATACACCAAGTGGTGTGTATAGACAGTCATCTGCATGTAACTTAAAACCAGGTTCTCTAAACAAGCTTCCAAAATATGTGTCTCATGGGCTCATGAGAGGCAGCATGTTTGCAGTGTCTGTTCTGGTTAAAAGCTGTCCTTTGGCATTGCCTGACAGCTTGTTTTTGAAATATCCTGAGTGGATGAGAAGCCTTATTAGTGTGGATTATTTACATACAGGAAAATGTGATGTTTGACATCAGAGATGCATCACTGTATCAATATTTTTGCGTGTCATGAAGAGTTTAGCTGAAGATTGGAGTTCAGCACAGCTCATCACTAGGATAAGCTTGTATGCTTATTTAACCAACTGTGATACTATATATATATATATTTTTTTTTCCATGAACAGTTTTTGGGAGCCTCTATATGACTGCACGGAGTGGCAAAGTACAAATAGTACCATCCTTACAGGAGAAACCTTCAGTGGGATGGGTGCTCTTTAATCTTTTTCTCTGTTCTCACAGGCCGTGTTCTGCTTTGTGCAATCCTCTATCCTGTGCCCCAGCACCGGAGTCTGTGGCCAGCATTGTGTCTTTGAGCTGCACTGGAGGCAAACCTCCCCTGAGCCTCGTTGGCTCCAAGTCACCTTTCCCCTTCCTCACTGCCCTCCTTTTTCTCATTGGTAGCATCACACACGTTCACAAAGGGCTGATCATCAAGGTAAGAGTTGATTTTTTTCACTATAAGTTCATTGTGAATTATTATTATTATTTAGTTTAGTCTGATCAAAGTGCGAGAGAAATTTCAGAACAGGTGGGGCTAGGACCAACAAAGTTTCTCTGGTCTTTGTATTTCAATATCTAGTTGACAGTGGGAAGCTGCAGTTATTGCTGAGCAGGCTGGTGAAGAACAATAATGCGTAAAGGATGTATTTGTAAAGAATGAGATATCTTAAATAACTGGGGTTTGGCTTTGGTCAAAAAATAAAAATAATAACAAAATTATCGAAGGGAGGATATTGAAAGAGATATAATAACGAAGACTAGAATAAAATTAAATTAGAGAATAAGTACTATAGTGGCTGAAGATGTTTCTTTCAACTTCTGGTTGCCCTGAATTTTCAGAGTAATAATGTCATGGATGAGTGCAAGTTCTGAAGAAGAAATGACAGAACATCCTAGAGAGACGGTGCCTGCTCTAAGCCTTCTCAAAGCCTTCCTCTGGTGCTGAACTAGCTGATCAATGACTAATAGTCACCTTACCAGATAAGAGAAAAAAACTCTTAACTCATTGCCCTGAGTTCTGCTTTACAAAGCACTGTGGAAAATGTTATCAGTGGCTATTGGTTACATGAAAAAGGGATGGTCATGATGGTTAGGGGCAAGCCCTGAGGCAGAGGCAGCAGGGGGGAAAGGCAAAAAATTCATCAGGTTCCTCTCTCTTGGGATATTTGACAGGTATTCCTATGGGACAGGGTAAGGAATAGACTTCGGGTTAGGACTAAAGTTTTTCTTCCAAGCAGGGACTGTTAGTAGTATTTGTCTCCACTTCTCTTTCCTCTTTAGTACAGCTCAGTGCTGGACTTCAAAGGCTTGAAGGATTATCTGCATCGGAGCTGGCAGTCTGGACCTCCCTCTGTAACACCGTCATCTGCGTGGATGCTGCGCCACGAATATCATCTGCAGTACTGGGTGCTAACGTTGGCTCGGAGAATGGTATTTTTGTTAGTCCTTTCATTTCTTTGATGCAGGAATTCACTTCACGCTAGCCACTGCAGGGGCTAATGCATCAAACTAGTGACTGGTCCTTGCCTCCCATCTGACTCGCATCTGGTGACTCCAGCTCTGACTACTCTGCCCTCGCATAATACCTTCACTTTGTGGTCACTGATGCGGGGGCTTAGATCCAAAATAATTCAGGTGACAAAACTGCGTTTTTGTCTGGCTTCGGGCTAGAGTAAGCAGCACGCTTCTAGCGGTGCGCTTCAGAACTGCACTTGACAGCCCAGGGCATTCAGGGAAGGAGAAAGATCCCCCAGACCTGCTTGCTCTTGCAGTCTGCCTCGGTCTCTCTCTTTCCGGTGAGATCTGTGCCTCTCCTCCTTGCACCTGCCCTGTTGACACGTGTTGTTGCTCTTACATATTCCTTGGTTGTGTTTCCTGTGCAGGCAGATGCTGGTCCGGATTACGCCGCGCAGGCCGCCCTCCATCACTGCGCCGCCATGGCGCTGCTGAGCCGGCTCCTGCCGGGGAGTGAGCATCTGGCTCACGAGCTCCTCTCGGTTCTTGCCTTTAATCCAGAGTTTTTCCCGTAAGCTTTGCATTTTTTCCTTTTGTGGTCCTGGGTGTGAGAAGACTTGGAAAAGATAGAAAAGCAAATGTTGGCATTATAATTTTGTCATAACTTTTGGTCTTTACCAGGGCCTATATTGAAATCTGAGATGCTTCACAACATATTCTCCAGTTGCAGAGCCTACTTGTTTGTCCAACATGGTGGTTGCAGCCTTTTTTCCAGCATAGCACAGTTGAGAAAGAACCAATTACTTTGATCTCCTTTATGGGAAGAGTCTTATGACCCCTGGTAACAGAGGTTTACCTAGGCCCCGTATCCCCACTCCTCTGAGTAATGACTACCAATCTGAATCTAGGAAGTAGGTGAAACCTGAGCTATTTTGAATTTATTCAGTCTTCCTCTCATCCTTAATATAGAAGTCCACGCACAGTTTTTGCTGCTTGCTTTGACAACAGCTGTGTTTTCCACCTTGAACTGAAGGAAACCATATGCATCTCAAATGTGAAACCTCCCATGTCTCAGCAAGAAGATGACAATGGTTTATTTTGCTTGTCACAATCTTCATGAAACTTGCCATTGTGCACCCTCTAGGAGGTTGGACGGAGGCATTACAGGGAGATAGCAGGGTGCTTCACAAAATCCTCTTTTCAAACTGAAAGTGTTTTTTAAAAACAAACAAACAAACAAAAGCCCTACCACTGTAGACCTGCCATTTTGTGAAACTTTGGCAAGTAATTGGAGATCATGATCTCGAATCTGAAATTGTGAATTTGACCTTTCTGCCCTCATCCTAAATTCTACTTAGCAGTCTCTCTTGCTTCCTGGACTCTGTGGTGCCAACTGCAAAGCTACTGTCAGGACAGTTGTCTTATTGATGCACACAGGCCTTTTGTGATGGGCAGTACTTCAGTAGCCTCACAGCTGTGGTGGCAAGTAGGCTGTCACCTGGACAGGGGGTTGCAGCCTCCACACTGCTGGCACTGTGTGGAGATTTCTCATGGCAAGAGCTCAGTATTGCCAAATCCAGCCGTAGTGCTGCGAGTTCCCTGTGGTTACCAACAGGGCCTATGCTTTCCCATGACTCACTGTTATCTCAGCTGAATGCTGTGGAGACTGTTGAGAGTTCTGTGCATTACACTCCCTGCTGCAGGGATATGATAGCGATGAACTTCTGTTGGTGGTGATGGTTTTTTGGTTTCTTTTTCTTTTTAAAGGACTGATGTTTATGTCTATCTTGCAGTGAAGGGAAAGCTGGAGGGCCGGAAGCAGCTGACTTCTCTGATATCCTGCACCTGGGTACGAGTGCCAAACTAGCACAGCCTGACTCTGCAGCAGCATTTTTTTCCAAGCCCACCCGTGGTCTCCTGCTGAGAGAATCGTACCAGAATCTGCGTTTCATCCGCTCCTGCTACCTCTCGCACTTTGCTCGCTTGCAGCCTACACTTTGGCGTTCCCAGGCTTCCTACCAAGGACAGAATTACCTCATCCAGTCCATGCTGCTTCCTGAGATCAGAGGGCCCATCCTGCCTTCAGACTGGCCATTCTTCCCTCTTATCAGCCTCTACAATAAAGTGACTAATGCAGAGACACAGGGGGCTGTGCTGAACACTCTCCCACTTGATCTGGTCAACACTGTGAGCTGGAACCTGCAATGGGTCTTGTTACTGGAAACCTGGCGTGCTAAAATCCTTCAGAGCATCCCCACTGCAGCCAAGCTTGCACGGCTTATGTGTGTCTTCCTCACAGGTGGTGACCTCTTTCTGGAAGCACCAATCCACTGCTACACAGCTGCCCTCCTCTCTATATATTGCCAGCCCAAAACACTGGACTCCCTGAACTTGGATGCTCCTCTCCCTGGCGTGGCTTCATTTCATGATCTCTACACGAGTCTCCTGGAGCAGTTTGAAGGTGTCTCCTTTGGAGATCCCCTCTTTGGAGCCTTTATTCTCCTACCTCTGCAGAGGCGTTTCAGCATTCATCTGCGGCTCTCTGTCTTTGGGGAGCACACAAGTATCCTGAGGGCACTGGGGGTGCCACTTCAGCAGGTAACCTTGACGTAGAAGAGTTAGCTGGCACTTGTCATGCTTGGGATGCTGTTTCCTTGACTTTCTCTGACCTTTATCCTCCGAGCCCTTCTCATCCCTCATTATCCAGTGGAATAATCATGATTTATTTGCCTACAAGGTCCTTATCCTTCCTGAAGAATGTAAAATGGAACAGGGATGGAAAGTAGGGTGCTTTTTTGAGAGGGCGGTTTAGGACTATGATCATAGTTGCTGGTACTTCTATATATTTTTTGTTGTTTGTTTTTGTTTGAAGTAGCATGATTGATTGTAAGCCTGCAAAACAGAAGTCCAGTCCATGTAGGTGCAAGCCCCCCATCATGTAATCATTCACAGAAGACATCTGAACTTCTTTTGAGTGCAGATAGCGTGTGTGTATGTGGAGGGAGGGACCTGCCAACCTGTTCACAGCTTCCAGTGGAAACTGTCCTACAGCCTGCTAGATCTAACAGCTGAGAGCCGCCTTCTAAGGCATGGCCTCTGTGTGTTAAGGTCTGTTCTTCATTCATCAATGGCCTTCAATACATCTTGTCTCTCCCCAGTACTGACCTTTCTCTTGCCTGATGATGGACGGTCATTTTCCTTCTCTGACCATTTGCTCACAGTTGGATATACTGGAGTTCTGCATTATTGGGTCACTTGGCAAGAAAATTTAATCTGAAAAGGGCAGGACTACACTACCTTTTTTTGAATGAGCAGAACACAAGAGGTAGAATTTAATTGGCTTTAAGCTCTGTATCAGTTAAAAATGACAAAGTAGTTGATCTACTCTGAAATTTGCTAATGGGAAGTTAACATTTCATTTTATTTCCAACAACAGTGAACCTGCAGGATGAGTTTACATGAGGCACAGTGCTGATCTCATGTGGTTGCAGTGCTTTTGTTCTGGTTGCAGTAGCCCTATGGCCAGTTTTACTGTGTGGACAGATGAGTCTTTGTTTCTTAAGCTATGTAAGACAAGACCTTCTGGCCGCTTTTTTATGATAATCTCTCTGTTCTCTGGATGATCCCTGTAGACCTTCCCTGTTTGGACTTCTTGTGCAGCAGCCCTGTTCTACCAGTACAGAGAGAAACAGGGCTGAATCCCTTGTTCCAGATGAAAGCCTTGATTCTAGGTCAGGTACTTCATTCTTCAGTTCCAGAATTGTGATAAACTTTTGCCATTGTAATATGTAACAACATGTTCTTATGCCTTCTTTTACACAAGCTCTCCTATTTGGCCTTTTTTAATGCCAAATACTTTGGAGAGTGTTTTTATTGCTTTCTTGCTTGGAGAACTTGAGCAAGATCACTTTTCTGCTTTTATTCCTTTGTTTAATTTTAAGTCAACTTATCAGGAAGGAAATATTTCAGTAATATTCTTTGGCAGCCAAACACTGAAGTTTAGTGTAGATATCATTTTGTCTTTGAAGGCTACTTTTGAATTGAATAAATCAATAATTGTTTTTGATCTCAAAAGAAAAATACGTAACTACTTTTGTGAAAATTGAGTACAAAGAATGTACTTCTGGAGAAGCGAGAAGCAAATAAACAAGTTGACACTAAAAGCTTTTCTAATAATTTTTTTGAAAGCTGCCCGATGAAATTGGAAGATGTTGGAAGCCTCACTTGAGAGCAGCATTAACTCTGGCACATTGAACATATATCTGCTGTCCCGTTCTGGCCAAATGTATAAGTCAGTGTAAGCTGTCCTGACAAATTATCAGGATGCAGTGTTGTTGAATTTGCTGTCTCCTCACTTTGAATGCACTCTTCTTACCTGTGCAAGAACAGCTGCAGTCATGTGTGCAGTAAAGTGTCTCTCCATTAAGCTGAAGAGATCTTGAGGATGTTTTGATAAGCATCTCACATCATTCAGCATGGACAGTAACAGCCTTGCTCCTCGCAGGGTTGTCATCACATTATATGGCAGCACACGCTTGAGCTGCTGGGGAGGGGGACTCAAAAGGCATGAACTTTCCATCGTGCAAACTAATGTCGTCCTGGGTGTCTTCTGCAGTTCCCCGTGCCTCTGGAGCGATATACCGACCCTCCTGAGGATAACTTGAACCTGCTGCGACTCTACTTCCGAACACTTGTCACTGGAGCTCTGCGCCACACCTGGTGCCCTGTCCTTTATGTGGTTGCTGTGGCTCACGTGAACAGCTTTATTTTCTCCCAAGACAGCACAACACAGGTAGGTAATGGATAGCAGGGCCTCTGGGCTAAAAGCTCTGGGTTTAGCATTTTTTGTGAGTGTCCAGTGTGGCTTGTGGTCAGTTACTGACCCCTAGACACGTTTTGATTAGAAAATAAAGATTGAAAGTGTGTTTTGGGGACCGTGAAGCTGTGTTAGATCTGCAAGTGGAATCCACCTATGAGACAGACGGCAGCTCTTGTTAGATATACCCTAAAAAACATGCATGAAGGATAGCCAGTCCTATGTAACCCTTCAAACTCAGCAAGCACTTGAGCTATTGTACAGCAGGGAAGAAAGAAGCACAAAGGATGAGGGAGTTCATGATAGACTGGAGTGTCACAGGTAGAGGCTAAAATGTGGGATGTTCACTCTTACCACCTTCTTGCTCTAAGCCTGCATGCGTTAACCAAGCAGGAGCCCTCCCATGGCCTTGGGCCCCAGCACTGGTTCCTTGTGCTAACACTTCACCTTTCTTTGATGTACAATTCTTTGTGATGGTTGTAATGGCAGCTGAATTTCAGTGATGACAATTTAAGAACAACTACACTGACTTAATGCCTCATAAGGCTATTAATCTGCAAAGGGAGGAGAGTGGTGGGGGATCCAACTGATAGCTGTCTTGATCCCTTTCTGCTGGAACAAGCTGTTACTTGCACATCCTCCTGGAGTGCTGCGTGGCCCGGGGGCAGAGTTAGTGCTAGCACTGTGCTCCATTAAGCACTGTGTGCGTTTTGTTCCTAGGAGAATGATGCTGCTCGCAAAAGCACGCTGCGGAAGACATGGCTCCTGGTGGATGAGGTACGCTGTGCAAAGATCACTTTGTGCCCCCAAGACTTTAGTTTTACATTTAGTTTTAGTTTAATTCAGTGTTCAGAGCCTGATAACAGAGGCGAATCTGTTGTTCTCTATACATGTGCCTCTTGGCTGAGCACCATTTTATGTGGATAGTGAGAGGTACTAGAGATGATTCCATCACAACTTAGCATGGGACGCCAGTAGGGATATCCGTTCTCCCAGAGCTGGGTGCTCGCCTGGAAAAGAACAAAGCAGGCTTCCAGTTTCCCTTTTTGCTATCCTGCCTTATTGTAAAGGAAATAACCAAAGTCTGCTGTTTATGTAAAAGTGCTGAGCCACTTGACCCTTGAAGTCTAGGGTCCGTGACCTATTCCTAGATTCTGGCTTTGGAGAACAAGTCAGTGTGAGGGACTTTTGAGACAGTGCAGTGGCATTCAAAAGAGGAAGTCTCATGCAAACCAAAAGTGTTCTTTTTTCTTGAAAGAAACTCACCTTCTGTAGTTCTACTGAAGATGTGATGTTTGATGTTTTTTCTCCCTATCTCCCACACAATATTACAATTGTAGATTCCCCCCTCAGACATGCTTAATGGCTGTTGATTGTTTCTTCAGACCCTGAAGAAGCACCTTCTCTACTACAAAATGCTGAATGCAGAGAGCCCTTTGGGATTTGATCTTTATGAACAGCTGCCTCCTCTGCGATTGAAGTACCTGCAGATAGTGACACAGAAAAAAAATAAGGAGACTGTATCGGTTCTAGTCTCATAGCAAAGCACTTGTGTAAGAGGAGGGCCAAGGGGAAGAACGGAGTGCTTCAGTGATTAAGAAACATCCACTTCAAACAGGTAACGGTGTCTTGCCTGGATACAATGCAAGTCAGTACAATCGTCAAAGTCGATACAGAACAATACAAGTGTCCTCAAGACACGTGTGCGGTGTCTCCGTGCTGAATGCTGGGACATGTTCTTCCATTCTCCTTCAGGTTCTTCTGCTTCTTCCTGGAGGAGATGACAAAAATGTGCCTGGAAGGCTTTGGACTGAATAAAATGAAAGAAGTGAAAAAGTTGTCTGGTTCATTAAAGCTGGATGTTGTGGGTTTTGGAGATGATGTGAGTGTTCATCTCCATTTTTCTGAATGCAGATCTTTTCCTTGTTTTATCTCTGTCCCGAACTTTGTTTTAATGCCCCCCCCCTAAACAGAATGACAACACAAGAGAAGCTGGTTCTGTGAACTGTGGGTTCTTTTTTTGTTCTTGTTTAAACAACAGGTAAGATTTTCTAGAATTTTCTAGTATTATGTATATGCCATGAGTCACATAGATGTATTATATCAGGTCTCTAAGGATGCAATAGAAACAGCAGCCTGTAACATAATGGTAGATACAGTGGCACATTCTCCCTTGGCTGTCTTTTGGACAGTCTCACTTACTTTTCTCTTTTAATTATGTCTGTAACAAGTTTTTTAAAAATATATACATATATTTGCAGGATACTTGGCAGAAACCCCTCCTCAGTAGAGGGGAAGAAAAACAAATATTTAACTGATTCGTTCAGAAGAATAAATTTTAAAGTGCAAGTTCATAAATGTAAACTTTCAGAAATTCCTTTGACCTCGTTTCTGCATCCTAGTTCTGTGTTGCAGCCTCAGCTCCGAGGGCTGCAGGGGTGTTGCTCTGAAGGGCTCCTCATGAGAGCCAGCTCAAACTTAGGATCTGCTAAGTGCAGTCCCACAGAAGCCAGTGTTTCACTGGCATCCACTAGTTTTTCACCATTCAGGGGAGTGTCTGGCAGGCTTTGGTGGGAGTAGGAGAGGTACTTTTTTGAACATTTGAACAGAACTTGCTGAAGTTGATTTATTCTGTGAATAAACCCCATTGGAAAGCGTGGAGTGATGCTAAGCTTAAAGACTTAAGCTCCTGTCTTTATCTATTGCACAGGCCAAGCTAGCTTCCCTCCAAAGAGTCCATTCCTGTCAGCCTTGTTCCAGTGAATGTGCTAGTAAAAGAGAGGAAGTCTTTCAATAGGAATATGCATCTTCAGTTACTCCTTGACACTATAGCCAACTCATTTGTGTAGGCTACTGAACAGCTTGTACTGACTGAAGTTGTTCCAGACTGGAAACAAATACAAGCTAGCAGCTCCCATGGCTGTGTGTGCTGTCTGCGCACCCAGTTCTTTAAGCGTTTCAGTCCCCTTCAGGTCCCCAGAAGAGTGTTTTCTGGTTTATCTTCAGCCTCTCCTATCTCTTTTTCTCTTTGATTGAAAGAAGATGTGGGCAGAACTTGTTTCGTTCTAATCCTTTTTTTTTTTTTTTATAAAAAAACTTCCCTCCTCCCTCCCCCATTGCAGCTTTTGATCTGTGATTTCTCTCAGTTGCAGACCAATCAATATCACAAAGTAATAAAAGCAGAGTGGTCAATGTGCATTTTCTTAATTATTTTACAAGTATTTGATGTGATTAAAAGTTTTATTGAAGGCACTCGAGTTCTTTGTTCTGTGTGGATGATAACCCCAGCATTAGTCTTTCAAGACCAATGAGTGGTGAGATTTAATGGCATCTGGCTACCCATTTAAGAACAGTCTTCATTAAGGATTTTGCCATATGCTTTTCTGACTTCCATTTATATAAAACCTTCCAGTGTTCTGTGTAATGTTAAGTTGGGTTTTGTTATGTGTACATGGTGTAAATAAACATTTTGGTAATGTTGTAATATTTGGAACAAAGAATGCTCACTGTCCTTTTGCTTAAGTCTTGGAGTCTGAATCAGTCTATTTGCCAGTTCTGTCAGTACCTGAGGAGTAGTACTCCCCACCTCTGAGGAAAACCAGTCATCTTTGGAGCACTGTTTTGTGAGAGAGCTCTTCAAATCAAGGCATTCTTCTGGTGTAGCGGTTAGTAACACTGGGAGCTGAATGCTGCGTGTACTTGGGGAAGGTGCAGGGGGGAGGTTTGTGTGACTTCTCGCATGCTCCAGTTGGGACAGCAGTAAAATTATACCTAGAGATGGTGTTTGTGCAGGATGAGGTAGAGGTAAAAGGAGGGGAGACTTTTGCTACCTTCTGAAGGGGAGGGCGGGAAACTTATTTCCTAAGTGCTTCTCAGGCCATCAGTGCATGCCCAGAAAATACTTAAATCTATTGTTGTGGAATTTGAGTGCAAGCACCTGCACTGGGAGAAAGAAAAGTTTTGGAGGCCACACCTGCGTGCAGAACAGATTAGGTGGGCTGCACAGCAGCCACGAGTTTTCAAAAGTTTGTGTGTGTTCCTATTTCGGCTGATAGTGCAGCAACCCTAAGCTCTTTATTTTATAAGGTTTTTGAGCATTTTTGTTTCAGGTTACTCTGCAGAACACTAGAGGGCGTTGCTTTGTTTTAAATGCAGACTTTAGGCTGCCGTGCAATTTGAACTCAGAAAAGGGTAGATTTTTATGCATTTTTGATTCTTGGGGAGAAATGGAAAATGGGTTTTGGAGAAAATGCAGAGAATTCAACAATTTTTTTTTATGTGATTGGTTGCTCAGGATCATTTTAGTGCTTTGCCATCAGGAGGATTTTGGAAAGATATTGGTAGAGGGAATGGAAGCTGAAAAAAAAGCTGAAAATAGTCTGAAGCAGGAACAAAGTGTGCTTTTTCTGTTAATCCAGTTCAACCCTGATGAGAATAGCAGAGGAAAAAGAAAATGAAGAACTGCCAAAGCTATCAACTTCTCAGCTTCTTAACAAAGGCTTAAGATTGCTTCTGCTTATCTAAGTCCTTCTTAAATAAGACCTAGTATAGGTTTCTGGTGTTGAGGTTGTTTTAACTCAGAACACTTTATATTCTTTGATAACCATGATCAGAAGACAAGAAAATGGATGCTGTTTTTTAATTTGGAGAATAGAAAAAAAATACCTGGTCAATAGCAGCTGAAAGATGCTTGGTTTAATCTAAGCAGGTGTTAGATGCAGTGGGAAGACACCTTCAGACAAACTGAGCAAGAGCTATGCTGGAAGACAACAATAATGTATTTTTTGAGACAATAGGTGTTCACTGTGCTAGAGATGACTTGAAGATGATGCTTTCTTCTAGTATTGATGCTGATTTGGCAGGTTATGCTATGGGATTCTCACAGTTATGCATCCTGTCACTTTAATGGCAGTGGTAGAGAAGTTTTCTGAATTATATTAAGTATTTACATTTTTAAAAAGTAGGAGAGTGCCTTCCCATCAACGTGCTTGTTTTGGATTCCCTGGGTTAAAATTCTTTTTTTGGTGACTTGTCCCACTTCTGAGTTGAGCAGTAACAGTTCCTGAAGAAGATGCAACTCAGTAGCTACCTGTGATGTGCACTGGGGTAGGAAAAAGCCTAACCGCAAGTAAAGAGTGGGGCAAGGAAGAAATCAAAATAGTATTGAAATCCTAATGTAAGAAGCCCAAGCTTGTGTATAGTACTGTTATGAAATTCTCCTGAAGCATTATATGATTAAAGTACTTGCATTCCCATGTATTTATTGACTGCTTCAGTTTGACAATGGAATTTAATAACTCAGCTCTAGGCTAATGCATTCAGCCTGGTTGCTTAATATGTGGCAATGCCCTAAACACCTTTGCTGCTAAAGTTGTGGGCAGAGAGAACAAGCCACAGAATTGATATCTAAGTATACTATAGGTCAAAGAAATGCATTTCTTTTAGTATCGGGAAGAAAATGGTGTAGAGAGGAATGTTAGTTCTAGTTTATGTTTTTTTTTTTTCCCCCTAGTTCTGCAGCATACTTTCAAGAACTGCTATGGAAATGATGCTTCTAGCATTAGTTGGCTTGGGGAGGGGGAGAGGACATGTTTTCCTTCAGCTTGCAGAAGCTCATATAAGCTCTCCTTTCACAAAGCTGGTCCTCTGAGACTCTTGTGCAAATAACTTTCTGGCAATATATTGCCTTTGCCCTAGTGTGTGGTGTTTTTTTTTTTTTTTTATAAAGACTGGCATTTTTTTCTGTTACTAGGGAGCCCCCTGCAAAGAAGTGATTCCAGAGCTTTAGTTTGTTGCAGTGAGTTAGTTTGTTGCATCTTTATGAAGACAGTGAGTAAAAAGGCCCTGTGTTCCCTTCCTCTCCTTTTTGTAGTAAGTTTGAACCTGTCACAAATGCAGGGTGTGGGATTTTTGCTTGTTTGTTTTGTTTTGTTTTGCTTTTTGCCAGCCCCAGTCCAAGGAGAAAAAGAGCACTACAAAAAGTTAAAACTTAAATTGACTTGGAGGTTTGTTCTGGGACAGAACTAGACACACGACATTGCAAATGGAGCCCAAAGAGGCCTGGTACTGAGCAGTGCTTCTGTGCAGGGTCCTGAAGAACACAAAAATTTAGCCAGAGCTACATTAACATCATCTATGGATCCAGGTCTTTACTGCCTTTAGATAGCATAATACAAGGCCAAAGGTATATGGGAAAGACCAGGAGAATTTGCAGGTTAGGTGCCCTCACCAACCTAAGAGGAAGGAGAAATGGAACCTCTCAAGTGATGCATGGTAAAGTAACAGCTTCTCCTAGGTTTTGTGACCTAGAAACACTAGTGATGTCCAAACGTGGTTACCCCTTGTTTGTGTTACAGCAGGGCAGAGGCGGAGCTTGAGCCAGTGGCTGCTGGACGTTCAACACGTCCTGACACAAGGCCTCACTGTGGGCACAGCTCTCCAGAAAAACTATGTAGCCTGGAATGAAGCCTTCCAGAAAAAAAACCCGCACTGTGGCCATCTGACCTCAGCGTGCTTTCCCTTCCAGGTAAGAAGAGGCCGGGGGCGAGCCATGGCTTCCCTGAGTGTGGCTGGGACTGGCAG